ATCATGTGAAGCATTACAAGATCCGAAAGCTGGACACGGGTGGCTACTACATCACCGCGAGGGCCCAGTTTGACTCGGTGCAGGAGCTGGTGCAGCACTACATGGGTGAGGCGGGCCCCTGGGGCTGTCCCGTGCTGCAGATCCCCACCCCAGCCCACTGTGCCAAGGCCCAGAGGAGGGTCTCCCAAGCGGGAGTGGCAGGCCAGGACCAGAACCCAGTCTAGGCTCTCGCCCGGGATACTGCTCCGTGGATTCCAGAGGAAACAGGCGTGGGCCGTTCATACCAGAGCAAGGGCGCCCCCCTAATGTCTGAGCCGGGTAGGAGGCAGAATAGCACTGACGTGGAGGATGGGCTGCAGGGTTAAGGGGAAGGCGGACTCATGCCCAGGTTTCTGCTTTGGTTGATGAGGGAAAGGATGAGGGCCATGGAAGAGTGAGGGTCCCATGTCCACATCTTTGAGTGGAATCGTCAACTCCATTTCCACCTGTCAGAATCCCACCTTCCTCTTGGAGCCCAGCTGGAGGCCACCTTCCATGGGAAGTCCCCAGTCCTTACAGGGGTCACCTCGCCCTCTTGATGCACCTCCTTCTCTGGGCACCAACATGTTCACCTCCTCAGTGGGCTGCGCTGCCTTCTGCCCTGGCCTGTGACCTCACCCGTGGCCTGGTCCCTTATAACTGATCTTGGAGACTGAGGTGGGATGAGGAATGTGGGCCGGTCCAGCCCGACCGTGACCTCCAACACCCCGCTCCCCAGAGGTGAACGACGGTCTGTGCTACCTGCTCACGGCGGCCTGCACCACCATGAGGCCGCAAACGCTGGGCCTGGCCAAGGACGCCTGGGAGATCAGCCGCAGCTCCATCACGCTCGAGCGCCGGCTGGGCACTGGCTGCTTCGGGGACGTGTGGCTGGGTATGGAGGCCCCGGGGCCGGCTGGGCACTGGCTGCTTCGGGGACGTGTGGCTGGGTATGGAGGCCCCCGGGGCCGGCTGGGCACTGGCTGCTTCGGGGACGTGTGGCTGGGTATGGAGGCCCCCGGGGCCGGCTGGGCACTGGCTGCCTCGGGGACGTGTGGCTGGGTATGGAGGCCCCGGGGCCGGCTGGGCACTGGCTGCTTCGGGGACGTGTGGCTGGGTATGGAGGCCCCAGGGGCCGCCCCAGGGCTCGGGCTGGCGGGAGCCCGTCCTGAAGAGCCTTGGGCGCCGGGCAGGCACGTGGAACGACAGCACGAAGGTGGCGGTGAAGACGCTGAAGCCGGGCACCATGTCCCCGAAGGCCTTCCTGGAGGAGGCGCAGGTCATGAAGTTGCTGCGACACGACAAGCTGGTGCAGCTGTACGCCGTGGTGTCGGAGGAGCCCATCTACATCGTGACCGAGTTCATGTGCCACGGTGAGCGGCGGGGTCAGGGCGCGAGGCCTGCGGGCGGGGTTTGGGGTGACGTTAAGGTGAGTGTCTATGGGGCAGGGACTTGGGCAGCGATCTGTGCTGGGAGGATGTACCCTGCGGAGGATCGGAGAGAGGCGCTGAGAAGGGAAGCCACGTGACTGCTGGGACTGGGGGCGGGGCCAAGTTAGACCAGGTGGGGCCTGGGACTGGGGGCGGGGCCTCTGGCGTGAGGTGTGGTCAGCTGGTGGGTGGGCTTGGGGCAAGTGAAGGTGGCATCGTGATGAGATAGGGTCTGGGACAGAGTCTGAGTGTGGCATGTCCAGGGGTGACGTAGGAAGAGAAGAAAGATGTGGGAGAGTCAAGATATCTGTGGAGGGGGATCCGGGTGAGAATTGTGAAGGGTTGAGGTACCTGGCGGGATCTTGAATGGGGGCCGATCTAAATGAGTGGGCTGGGAGCCTGGGCTGGGGCTATAGGAGAGGGTTCTCGATAGGGGAGGGGCCAAGGGAGACCCGGCTGGCCTGGAGCTGGCGGTGGGGTCTTTCTGCTGATTGTCGGGGTTCCTCTCCCCAGGGAGCTTGCTGGAGTTCCTCAAGGACCGAGAGGGCCAGGATTTGATGCTGCCCCAGTTGGTGGACATGGCAGCCCAGGTAAACTGGGACCGCAGCCGTCATTTCTCAGATCCCCCTCCTATTAACCTTCCACAAATCCTTGTGCCCTGAAAGCCCTGTGCCCTTAAACACAGCGTATCCCTGGCCGTGCAGCCCCACCCACTGCATCAGCTGTGCGAACTGAGGCCGGGCCCTGGCTGCCTCTGAGCCAGTGCCTTGCAAAGTTGGTTTTTCAAATGACCCGTCACATAGCCATGGTGTTCCCATCTCTCCCTACCTTGGCCCGCAGGTAGCCGAGGGCATGGCCTACATGGAGCGCATGAACTACATCCACCGGGACCTGAGGGCAGCCAACATTCTCGTGGGGGAGCGGCTGGTGTGCAAGATCGCTGACTTTGGGCTGGCCCGTCTCATCGAGGATGATGAGTACAACCCGCAGCAAGGTGCCCGGCCTCATCCCACCTCAGGGCCTCACTTACTCAGGAACCCTCCCCCCTTCCCATCGCAATGTAGTGTAAGAGGCAGCTCTGGGTTCAGATCCAAGCTCCTCCACTTATCAGCCATGTGGCCTTGGGCAAAGTACCTACTATGTGTTAGGTACTGCTAGAATTCTCAAGAGAAAGACAGTAGGCATCATAGCATGAACTCTGTAGCCAGACTGCCTGGGTTTGAATCCTAACCACCTATAAACTGTGTGGTCTGCCTCCTTTTCCTTATCTGTGCAATATGGATAATAGTATGTATCTCAAGGGGTTTTTGTGAGGCTTAAATGAGTTAATGCATGTAAATCACTTAATGCAGTACCTGGCATGTAGGAAAGGCTATATTGCCAGTCCTCGAATAATGTCCATTTGTTCACATCGTTTCTTATAACATTGATGAGAAAAAAAATAATTCCCAGGCTTAGGCCACTGTCTGTGTGGTTTGCACATTCTCCCCATGTCTTCGTGGGTTTTCTCCTGGCCCTCTGGTTCCCTCTCTCACCCCAAAGCTGTGCATGTGAGGTGAGTGGGCATGTCTACATCGGCTCTGCCTGAGTGAGCGTGCATGTGAGTGCAGCCTGCAATGAAAGGGCGTCCTCTTCAGGGTGGGGTCCCAGCTTGTACCCTGAGCTGCCTTCTGCATGCCCCTTACTGGGGATCGAGCCCACAACCTGGGTATGTGCCCTTGACCAGAATCTACCCTGAGCTGCCTTCTGCACGCTCCTTACTGGGGATCGAGCCCACAACCTGGGTATGTGCCCTTGACCAGAATCAAACCCGGGACCCTTCAGTCCGCAGTCCAACATTCTATCTGCTGAGCCGAACCGGCCAGGGCAAAACACCATTCTTTTCATCCAGCTGTTCCCAGGGATCCCCCTCACTAACTTTCCCTTCTCCTCCAATCTCTCCAGGGGCCAAGTTTCCCATCAAGTGGACAGCCCCAGAGGCGGCCCTTTATGGCAGATTCACCATCAAGTCAGATGTGTGGTCCTTTGGAATCCTCCTCACTGAACTCATCAGCAAGGGCCGAGTTCCTTACCCAGGTTTGCTGGGGACGGGGAGGTGGGAGAGTGGTCATGGGGAAGGGTTGCCTCCTTGATGCTTCTTTGGGAGAGGCTGGGCCCCCTGACTGACGGAGCCCCATCCTCTAGGCATGAATAACCGGGAAGTGTTGGATCAGGTGGAGCATGGCTACCACATGACGTGCCCCCCGGGCTGCCCAGCATCCCTGTACGATGTCATGTTGCAGACCTGGCGTCTGGATCCGGAGGAGAGGCCTACCTTCGAGTACCTGCAGTCCTTCCTGGAGGACTACTTCACCTCCACAGAACCCCAGTACCAGCCTGGGGATCAGACATAGCTGGTTTGGGCATCTGCCACCTCTCTGAGGGTGCCCACCAGCCCTTTTCAATCCCCAGGGCTCTGGTCCCAAAGCCCCCAGGCTTAGAGCCCTATAGAGTCCTAGCCTGTCAGAGCAAACTGTTTGCTCTGACGCCATCAAGGGCAACCCACTCATTTTAAAGATAGACAAATAGAGGCTCAGAGATGATCCCTTACCCAGTGTGGCCCAGGCAATATTTCTCCCTCCAATTTAGGACCCTATATGCTTCTAGTCTCCCTACCTCCCCCCCCCAAAAGAAATACTCAGACCTTGTCTAGTTATTTATAAAACTATATCCTTTCCCTCGCCTCCTACCCCTGCATTCCTACCCTGCCATCCCACCCTGGTCCAGGACCCCAGAATTCAACTCCAGTCATCTCTTGTGTCTGTAAGTTACAAAGAGAGGGAAAAACTTACCTGGATCCCTTTCCTGTGGAATGTACCCTGTAGTCCAGGACTGGGGTCCAAGGCCCAGATTGAGGGAGAGGATTGCTGAGGGCTTATCCCCCCCCCCCCGAGTCATGTGTGTATGTGTATTGATTTTGTAAATAAGAAAAATGACAATGTGAATCCATGAGCTATGAAGATCCCTTCCTTTGGGAGGGAGGATGGTCAGTGGGAGGTGAGTGGGGCTGCTTTGGCTGCTGGGAAGAGGGAGGACCCTGAGAGCTAATAAGCACAGGGTACCCCAAGGTGTGTCTTAGGACACCCAAAAGTCCTATGCTCGTCCCCATTGAGTTTAGAACAAGTCCAGAGATGGCTATAGAAGACAGGCAGTTGGAGATCAAAATGTCACCTTCATTACTACCGTGGTTTTAGTTTGTGTGCCGTGGGCTTGCTAATTCTTTACTTGATCCTACAGATTTACTGTTCTTCACAGGCATAGCAGCAGGCCTCCCTCAAAAGGGGCAGTGGGGGAGGTTCACAGTGGACCCTCTGCAGCTCCCCAAAAGAAGACAGAGGGAGGGGAGAGGGGAGGCCTGAGAGTTAGTCCAGCTCACTGGGTCTCACCTGGACAGCTCTGTGCTCTAGGGGGTTTTGGAGAGGTTTGGAGGCAGTTTTGTTTGTGATGATGACCAGGGCCTCCCGTCAGGGAGGGGGCAGGGATGGAAGGTGTTCAACAACCGGCCGTGCGCATGTGCAGTGAGGCATTGTCCCACCCCCAGGTCCCCCTTCGAGGCACTCTGACAGCTGATGTGCATCTACATGGAAACCAGAAGTAAGGATTTCCACCTCCACCGTCAGGAAATTGTTGACCCCCTGACTTACTAAGAGGGTGGACAGGGCTAGAGGCTGGGCGCTAGGAATCACTGCTGTAATTGGCAAACAATTACAGAGCATTAAATTTGCGAAGGCCCTTTGCTAGGCGGGATCCCAGGAACACAAACGTGAACAAGACCAGTCCTTGTCCTGGAGGAGCTTACAGTCAGGCTGGAGAGAAACAATAATAACTCATCTATGAAGCGTCTGCTGAGTGCCAGCTGTGTTTACATCCATTTCGTCTAGTCCCGAGTCTGGTTCTATGATGAGGGAGGGACAGGGAGGTCAGGGGTCACACAGCTATCTGCGACAGAGCTGGGATTGGAACCCTGCTCTTACATTAAGGCCCATGATCTTTCTACCAGACCTCACTGCCTCTGGACTTTGGGAAAGAATCCTACCGGCCCCGGGTGGATGTTTGGAAGAACCTTCTCCCTCTAGATCAGTGATGGCGAACCTATGACAGGCGTGTTAGAGGTGACACGCGAACTCATTTTTTTGGTTGATTTTTCTTTGTTAAATGGCATTTAAATATATAAAATAAATATCAAAAATATAAGTCTTTGTTTTGCTATGGTTGCAAATATCAAAAAATTTCTATATGTGACACGGCACCAGAGTTAAGTTAGGGTTTTTCAAAATGCTGACACGCTGAGCTCAAAAGGTTCGCCATCACTGCTCTAGATTTTGGTAGAGAGATTTCCTGGAAACCCAAGTTGAGTGACCTGAAGAAAGGGAGACAATGTGGCCAGTGCAGGTTGAGAGTTCCCTGGGTTCAGCCCTGTGCTAGGGGATGCTGAATGGGAGCAATAATAGGGAGAGGGGCCAAGTGGGATCACAGAAGTGGGAGCCGTGGCTCTGCACACTCAGACTTTCAGGTGCCAAGGCTTCCTGAGGCTTTTTCAGCCAACCAAACTCACAAGAGCCTGATGTATAAACCAGAGTCCCAGTGTTTCCATCTGCCTTGGAGTAAGCAGATAAGAGCACGGCTCTAGAGCTGTACTGCCTGGTGTGAATCTTGCCTCCACCACTCGCTAGCTGTGTGATTTTGTGGAAGTTATTAACCTCTCCAAGCCTCAATTTCCTCATCTGTGAAATGGCGATAAAATGCTCAATACATGCTAGCTCTCTTTGTTATACCTTTTACTAATTATTTACTGCTAGAGACCTGGTGCATGAAATTCATGCACTGGGGGGGGGGGGGTTCCCTCAGCCCAGCCTGTGCACTCTTGCATCCAGAAGCCCTCGGGGGATGTGCACATCATAGCTAGTGGTTGAGCGGCCTTAGCATATCATTAGCATATTACACTTTGATTGGTTGAATGACCTACAGGACATTTAGCATATTAGGCTTTTATTATATAGGATATGCCAGGTATCCTGCTAAGTGCATGCTGCCATTTAATCCTCACAGAACCCTATGAGGAGAAGGCTGTTGTATCTTCATTTTATTAATAGGGAAACTGAGGCACGGTGAAGTAAATAGGTTACAGGACATAACTGGCAGAGCAGGAGTTTGAACCAGATCCTCTGACTTCAGAATCAGTGCTCTTAGTCTCTATAGCAGTGGTTCTCAACCTTCCTAATGCCGTGACCCTTTAATACAGTTCCTCATGTTGTGGTGACCCCCAACCATAAAATTATTTTCGTTGCTACTTCATAACTGTAATTTTGCTACTGTTATGAATCGTAATGTAAATATCTGATATGCAGGATGTATTTTCATTGTTACAAATTGAACATAATTAAAGCATAGTGATTAATCACAAAAACAATATGTAATTATATATGTGTTTTCCGATGGTCTTAGGCGACCCCTGTGAAAGGGTCGTTCGATCCCCAAAGGGGCCGTGACCCACAGGTTGAGAACCGCTGCTCTATAGTCTTTTCCTGGGATCAAAATATTTTTGTCTGACTGATGGAACTCTGCCTGGTACCTGGATGCCCATTGAGTTTAAATGAAGGCCCAGCGGGGCAGTGAACCACGTGGAGTTCACCAGGCCCTCGCTGCTCAGCAGAGACCAGAGCCTCCTGAGCCTGGAATCCGTGTATCTATTGGTTCCCTGTCCCTCCCTCTGGTGCAGCTGAATAAATTCTCCCTTGCACCCCCTTTTCTGTGCATCCTTCTGTTCCCTTCAGATAGAGCACAATGCAATTGATTAGGCCTCTGTTTTCTCAATTTCAATCACATCCTCGCCCTGCCTCCCTGAGATTACAGGCGGGTGGGTCACCTTGATTGCAGTTTCCACTGTTCACAAAACCCTTCAGTCGTTTACAAAACCATCTCTCGCCTCATTCACTCCCCCACCTGGCTCTTCTCCTCCTGAAGCGTGGATTTTACTGGCTTAAGACTCAGAGGGCAATTTTATCTCCAAGTTCATGGTGGGGGAGAAGGGCACTTAATTGACTAGTGCTGGGTGTTTCACATGCATCATCTAATACGATCCTCCCGAGGCCGAGCAGAAGTGTGATTATTCCTGTTTTATAAAAGAGGAAACAAAGACTCTGAGAGGCTACGACACCTGCCCAAGGTCAGACAGCTGGATGGTAGGGGCAGGATTTGAACCCTGCACCCCACTGTGTCACATTCCTTTATCTGATGGAGCAGCATGGGAAAGTACAGTACTAACCCAGAGTCAGGCCCGGGAGGGCACGGTGCAGATAGAGGTCTGGGGTAGCCCCATGTATGCTGAGGATTGTATTTGTAAAAGAACCGAGTCATTTATTAATTTTGCACCCACTTACCAATATCTCCTGTAGGCTGGTCCTGCCCAGGCGGCAGAACGGCAAACAGTTACCACACTTAGGGGCAAGGTCAGTCTGGAGGCCAAGGGAGACTCTTGGGAGGATGCAAAGAAAAGGGCCTGATGAAGCAGCCAGAGGGTCAGATCATCTCCCTCGGAGGGAACAGCACATGCAAAGGCCCAGAGATATGGCAGAACAAGGCAAGTCAGGCAAGTGCAACTAATACTAAGTATGGGAGGCGGAGGGTGCAGATGAAGCACAGAAGAAGGTCGGAAGGTCACAGGCAAGAGGTGGTAGGGTTGAGCCCTGGCCAGGTGGGTCAGTTGGTTGGAGCATCCTCCCATACAGCAAAAGGTTGAAGGTTCAAGATTCCTGGTCAGGGCACATGCCTACGTTGTGGGTTTAATCCCCAGTTGGGGCGCATGCAGGAGGCAACCTATGGGTTTTTCTCTCTCACATCTGTTTTTCTTTCTTTCCCTTCCTCTCTGTAAAAGTCAACAAAAACATATCCTCAAGTGAGGTTTTTTATTTTTTTTTTTAAGCTGGAGAGTTGGAAAGCCAAGGGGTACGGCCCCTGAGTTGTGGAGAAAAGTCAGAGAGAAATCTATGGGGCCTAGGACCTACTGGGGAATGAGTCTATCTTGGATCCCACTGTTCTAGTACTGAGTTGGGCGGACCCCCTATCTACTTCAGTTCTCTCCCAGGTACAGTGTCAAAGCCTCCCTTTCACCCACCACACACACACACACACACACACACACACACACACACACACACACACACACGATGGTCTTGCAGAGGTGTCCATAGGCCCTCTAGTGGTCACTCTGAGTACTATATTTTAAACTGCAGAAACTTTCCTCTGGGATAGGACTGGGTCCCTTCAGAACCTTCCCACCCCATCGGATGGGAGATACAGCCAGTGCCTGCTCTCAGAGCTCACAGTAACGGTGATGAGGGCGAAGGGGACAGACACAGGCAGAAAATGTGGGAGAACAGGGAAGGGTACCAACTCAGTTGGTCATGGAGAAGTCTGGAAGGCTTCTCGATGGAGATGTTGTTCACCAGAGACTTGCAAAAGGAGTAAAAGTTTGCTTGATAGAGAAACAAAAGCCCAGCTGGCATGGTTCAGTGGTTGAGCATTGACCAGTGAACCAGGAAGTCACGGTTTGGTTCGATTCCCAGTCAGGGGTCAGGGTCAGGGCATATGCCCAGGTTGCAGGCTTGATCCCCAGTGTGGGGCATGCAGGAGGCAGCCGATCAATGATTCTCTCATCATTGACGTTTCTATCTCTCTCTCCCACTCCCTTCCTCTCTGTAATCAATAAAAATATTTTTTAAAAAAAGAAACAAAAGAAGGGCATTTCAGACTTCACTGGGACCATACAGGATGTTACAATTAGGTAGGTGTGACTGGGGTGAAAATTTTGAGGGGGGGGGTAGTGGCTAGAGATGGAGATGGTGAGGTAGGCATGGGTCTTGTCTGCCATGCATGCAGGCCAGGCTTCTAGGTTTGGGGCCAAGGGAAGCACTGAAGGGTTTTGAGCAGGGGAGTAACAGATCACATTCACTTTCCAGAAGGAAACCTCTGGTGACCAATGTGACAGAAGAATGGGAGGGCAAGAAGTGGGAGAGGGACACCTCTCTCGGATACAAAGAACCGCACCAGGTCACACTCAGGACACATAACTTTGAGCAGGCCTGTGAACCAGGCACATCCTGACACCTACAGACATGTCACTGGGATCCCAGGCTGAGCGCCCACAGATAAACAAATGCGCTGATATGCACTCAGACACAGCTCAGGTTCATAGCTGAAAGGAAATCAAGGAGCTGGTGAGAACCACGCACACCCGATGGACACAGGATTCTCTCTCTCTCTCTCTCTCTCTCTCTCTCTCTCTCCACACACACACACACACACACACACACACACACACACACACACAGGCCCTATCCTACCCCCCTGTTTCCCCCAGGGTCCCTCACCACCTCCAGGCAGGAACAAAGCTGACCCTTGCCCTCTGGCCCCTGGCCTCTCCTCCCACACCCCCTGCCCAGAGGGAGGAGCTGTTTGAAGTCTGGGCTGCAGCTGGGGTTTCCTGTTGCCTGGAGGAATGTGGGAGGACTTGTAGGGAGGGGGGAGTGGAGAGGGGCCGGCACAGGAGGAGGGATAATGGGGGCCTGGGGGCCTTAGTTCTCATTGTACCACGTTGAGGAGGGGCTTTCTGCTCCCATGGTCTCTTGGGCCCCAGCCCTGAGCTGTTCTCATCCAGAGGAGGGGAAAACCAAGGCCATAATGGCTCCAGGCCAATGGGCCTCTTGTTCCTGGATCTGTATGGAGTTCAGTGTCTTAGGATAGGTCCTCAACCTCTCTCGGCCTCAGTTTCCCCTTCTGTAGACTGGGATGAGTCCCGCTCGAACCATCCACACCTTTCCCGAGAGAGCTCCAGGGGGTGGGCCAGCCCCAGAGCTTCTGTAGTCACGGAGGGCAGTGCCCATCTCTACCCAAGGCTCACTCCATTTTGCCCTTTCCATGAGCCCCAGGGGCCTGGCCCCAGCCTGCTGCCACTTCTCAATTATTGTCACCATTTTATAGACTCAATTGCCCCACAACATGCCCTTGCCAGTTTCCAAAGTGCTTTTGCATCCGTGTGCTCCGTACGTCTTTTACAAGCACTGCCTGTAACACAGGGAAGGGATTACTCTTCTCTTGTATACACATGGAACGGAGACTCTGAGAGGGTAAGGACACAGGAGGAAAAGCAGAGTCAGAACCAGGCCTATCTGGCTCCTCGTCCACACGGCCTCCAAACCCTGAGACCCCACAACTTCTTTTTTATCTCTAGCCTCTCACCTCTATTTCCTAGGATCTAGCTTCTGCTTACATTGAAACAAAAGTGACTGCAATGAGCTGAGCCCAGAAAGGGATGATGGAGGCTCTTCCAGAACCTGGGTCCCCTCCTTCAAGTCTGCTTTCTTAGGGAGCTAACCGCTCTTCTGCCCAGCCTTTGGTGACACCCACACTATTAAGAACTGGGTAGCGAACCCTAACCCTTTTAGACTATGGCTGCCCAAGCAGATACATGTATGCAGATTAGACGCTAGGTGGCAGCAGCAGCCCATAGTAAGACTCAGCTTGCGTTTGTTTGGGGAGAGCCCCCCCAACACAATTTGGAGAGGCTCCAAGAGAAAGGCCAGCCCCCAAATAACTGCGAAACCCTGAAATGCTTTATTTTCAACGATGCCCAACATCTTGGCGTTTCAATACACACTCTGTCTTTGGGGAGGGGACAACTGAGGCAGCCTGGGTTGGGAGGGGGAATACTTGCAAACTCCTACCTAACTTCTATTCCTTCCATGGAGTCATGGATCCTACTATTCTTGCCCTCTTAAACCTCATCACTTAACCTCTCCCTTCCCATGCCCTTCCCAAACTCTTCTTCATCCCCACCCCCCCACCATCCCCCTGGGGCCTCCCTAGTTCCCAGAAGCCATCCTGTATTACCCTATCCAGTTCCTTCCCAAAACTTGGTTCCGACTGGGTGGGCCAGAGCCTCATAGGCAAGGATGTGAGGGAAGCTAAAAGAAAGGGGAAACTGGGCTTCTCCTGCCCTCCCCAATGTTAAAGTCTCTCCAGAGGGGTGCCAGCTAGAGCAAGATGCCTGCAAGGAGAAGCTACTCCCAACGGGGGCCTCTCCAGCTGGCCGGACCAGATCAATAGGTGTACCATTCAGAGTCCTGGACTTCTCCCGCCGCTGCTGCTCCTTTCACCAAAAGGGCCAATAAAGAGTGCCCCTCAGATCCCTTCTTTTGCCCTCTGGAAATTCCAGACTATCCTAGAAGAGGGGCTTGGAAGAGACGGAGGTACAGGGAAGGTAGTGACAGGAAGCTGCGTTTGGCAAAATGTCACCACCTGCCTTTGCCACACACTGGCCACCACCCTGCATCACCCCACAGGGCCAAAGGCGAAGTCAGAAGCAGGTGGGCTAAGAACAAAGGCAGGGCTGGAGGAACGTCAGGCACGGAGCAAGACAGACCAAGCTAACATACATGGGCAAAGGAATGCCAGGCACAGACGAGGTGGGACTAGCTCAGGACCAGTCAGAGCCGGTGTCGGTAGACACTGAGGACAGGACGGTGGCCATACATTATTCATCTCATGTCCTCTGTGAGCCACACACAGACACTGGGAGAGAAGATCAGACAGAGGCCTGGGGAGTCACAACTCCCTGCACGGCTCAGAGGTTAAATTGGAAGGCCCGGGCCCAACGGTGTGCCCTCATTTTTGGAAATGCTAACTACCATTTCACCAGGTCTTTGCCAGATTCTAGAGCCCCGTGGTGTCCAGTAAATGGCGGCGGCAGCAGCTCTCCTGCTTGGGCTGTCCAGCTACCTCCCCTTGGTAACCAGGCCCTGGCAGTGCACATTCCTCCCATCTGTGGGGATGGGCCAGGCAGGGGGCCCGGAGCTAGGAGCTGGGAGCTGGATAACAGATGTGACCTGAAGAGGAGGTAGGTGAAAGTGCTGAGCCCAGCCCCCTGGCCGCAGCAGGAGCTTTGAACTGTTGAATTCGAATCTTACTTCCCGACACAATGAAAACGCTCAGTCGAATTCAGGAAGGGTATGCGTGTGCACGTGTGCACGTGTGTGTGTGTGTGTGTGTGTGTGTGTGTGTGTGAGGTCCAGGACTTTTGTGCCCTGGCCGCTCTTGGACTTCTAGGAAAACAGGGGTTGGGGGAGGGGGGACGCTAAACCCAGAGCTTAGCTTGAGACGGGCACTGGGAGAGGAGGAGACTAGTGGGGCTGAGTTTTCTGGAGCACCCCTCCCACATAAGCTCTTGCTCTTTACTCAGTAAGACACCGTTTCAGAAAAGGAGAACGCCCCCAAATTCAGGGAGCCTGTCCTCCTCCCTCGCCCCTTCCTCTCCCATGTAATTGGGACTCCCCAGAAAGTCTCGGGTCCTTTGGCTAATCCCTTGATTCCCTATTCGACTCTCATTCCATTCTTAGACCCCGCCCCTTCCCTCCCACCCACAACCTCCCTCAAGCCAGAGCACCCCGCCGGGGACAAGGAACTTGGTAAACGTTCCCAATCCTTGGGGAAAACCAGCACCCCTTGGAAACGAGGGCACGCCCCCGCCGGAGGGATCCGGGTGCAGGCGTCCGGAGGGCTCCCAGCCGCGCCGTCGGAGCTGCCCGCGCGGCCCCGCCCGCTGGGCGCACGGAGCGGCCAGGGCGGGGACTACAAGTCCCGGCGTGCTGTGCGCGCGTCCCCCCCTGGGGTTCCGGATGGTGAGCGGCGAAGGTAAGGCGAGCTCGCAGAGGCAGCGGCGGCGGCGGCGGAGACGGAGAGAGGCAGGCAGGCAGGGCGAGGGCGAGAGACGGAGGGAGGGAGTGAGCGAGGCAGACCAGACAGACAGACAGGCGGGCGGGCGGGCAGAGCGAGCCACCCGCCAGGCTGCGCTCAGCCCCGCTCGCATCGGAGAGAGCAGAAGGCAGGAGGAGGGAGGGGAGGCGAGGGAGGGAGGGAGAGGGAATCCAGCTACCACCACCCAAAGCCAGCGTCTGCTTTCTGTCCTCATTTCCTTTTCCCACCCAGCTCTGAGAGCAGAGAAAGGCAGAGAGCGAGAGAGACAGAGACAGTCAGGGAGACAGACAGACAGAGAGAACGGGAGGGAGGAGGGCGGAGGAGGAGCAGGAGGAGGACTACGCGGGGCGCGTTCTCTCCCAGGTTTGCAATTGGGGGGTGGGGGCGGGGGTGTCCAGGACTGTGAGAGTGTGTGCGCGGCGGGGGGGAGCGCGGGGGGCGCAGAGAGAGCGAAGGAGTGATCGAGGTGGGGGGGCGCCGCGGGAGCGGGGGGCCGTGTCCAGCGGAGTTAGCGGCGGAGAATGTGAGCCGAGGCGCGAGCCATGCTGTCAGCAACAGCGGGCGGCTCAGGGCTCCTTCACGACTCCTCTCCCCAGCTGCCGGGCGCCGCGTCGCTGCCGCCGCCGGAAGACAGACGCCCCCAAAAGCCCCTTCCCTGGCTCGGACCCACGGAGCCGGCAGCCCAGCACTCCGGTGAGTGGCGCCTCCTCCCCAGTCCTAGACCCCCGCTGGGGACCGGCTGGCCGGGCTCTTTTGTGCAGCGCGCCAGGGGGGCTCTGCGCCCCCTCTGCGCGCCCCGGTCCGGTCCGTCGGACCCCGTGGCTGCGGTGCCCGCGGTGCGATCGGTCTTTGTTTCCACCGGGGCCCGCAGCTCGGCTGGGCTCGGCTCGAAGCCTGGCAGGCAGTGCCGGGAAGGGGGAGGGGGAGGTGGACGAGAAGGGGGGGGGGCGGGAGGGGGGGTTCTCGGGTTTCCTGGCCGCCCCGCGGCTCCCCGGCTCCCCCGGCTCGGGGGCGAGGTGCGCGCCCAGCGCTGCCGCGCGCCCTCTCCACCTTCCCCCTCCCTCCGTCTTTGGATTTAAAACTGCAATTTGCTCTCTAGCTTGCTGAGAATGGGGTGGGGGGGGCAGTGTAGGGGGGACCGTGGGAGCGGAGAACAAGGCTGGATTTTAGGAACGGCACTGGGAAAGGGGGAGACTGCGGAGGGAGGAGCCCCTCCCCTTCAACCCCCAAATCCCAAGGTTCCGCTGGTGCTCTGGGAGTTGAGGGGCGGGGACCTAATGACCCGGAGGGGGTGTGGGGTGGAGGAGGGATTTGGGGTGGCCGGGGCCAAAGGGGTTGGGCCGCGTGCCCGGTTACCTGGCGAACAAAGTCGGCTCACTTTTGCATAAATAAATAAATAATCGCCTATCAATGCGTTTCCTCTGGGGCTCAGATTGAATCGGCCCCCTCTTCCCCAGGGGGTGGGGTGCTGAGTGACAGCTGTCAGCCCCCTGGGCCGGTAGCTGGGGGTGAATTGCTGAATCCCTCTGCTCTGGCTGAGGGCACCTTCCCCTGCTGGGTCCTGGTCCCCAGGCAGAGCCAGAGGGGCAGGGGGCTGGCTCTGAATCTAGGAAATAACCTTGTTTCCTGTTCTACAGGAAAAGGGACAGCAACCCAGAGTTTGGGGGCTGGGGATGAGGACTGATGGGAGCTGGAGGGGTTCCCCAGCAGCCTGACCCCCCAGCCTCCTGCCAGGCGAAGGGGCCAGCTGAGGGAGGAAGGATGTGGGCCTTGCTGGCCGGAGGCGGGAGCTGGGGCTGTCCCTGAGGCGGCAGCGGGCACAGAGAGGGAGGAGGGAGGGAGAGAGAGAGAGAGAAGCGGGGGCGGGAATTCTCTACCGCAGACCCTGGGGGCCAGGGCCAGATGTGGAGGGGTGGGGAGTCCCCCCTCCCTTCTAGCTTGGGGGCCCTGAGGCTGGGCTGGGAGGGGCTGAGCCTGGTGCCCTCAGTTCTGCACCAGTGCCTGACTGGCAGGGCCAGCTGAATTTGGGCCCAGGCGTCACCCTGGGAGGCAGGGCTGGGCTGCACCAGTCTGGTCCCTGAACACAAGGAGGGACCCTTGGGGGGCCTGTGCCTGTCTGGCTGGGCAGGCGTTTCCCGCCGGACCAGTTGGTGTCAGGCGGGACTTGGCCCCGGCTCCCTGGGCAGAGCTCAGGGTGTGAGGACAAGCTTTGCCTCCCGGTCACGGTGGCCACATTTTGTCCATTGCTGCCACCATTGGAGCGGGGCATGTGCCTGGGCCTCGGCAGGGTCCTGCTGGGAGCATTGGGGGTGTTTCTATTGTTGGCTTGTCCCTGCTGCATGTGACCCCTTGTGTGCAGCTTTGTGAGCTGGGGCTGTAAGTGAAAGATTACCAGTCTGTCACCCCCCCCCCCAGCCCCACTTTGTGGGGGAGGCTGGGTTGTGTTGCTGAGTTGTGGGGGGACCTTCCCCCAGGTGTCATGTGCATGCCGCTTGCTGTCTCCCTCCTTGGAGCAGATGTATATTTATTTTTATAGTAATGGAAAAGCAAACTGGATAGTAAGTTGAATTCATTTTTTTCTCTTGCTGTGTCAATAGTTGGAATAACCCCCAGAGACTGGTGAACTTCTTGCCCCAGAGCTCCCACCCTTCAGAGGTTGCAGAGATCAGTGAGGGCATGAGCTTTGGGCGACCAGTGAGCACCAGTCCAAACCAGTACTCTAGTCTCTCTTGGTCTGGCATTGGAGCAGGTGCCCAGGTGGGCAGGCATCGCCCCCTCCCCGGGCAAACCCCCACACCCCGGGGTGTAATCTGGCCGCTCAGCCACCTCTTTGGTCAGTGCCTGAACTGTGCCCAAGCCCTCAGGGATAGTCTCCAGGTGGGCTCTGCCCCCCCGCCCAGGCTCCCCGGCCACGTGCTGATATTTATTTTCTGTAGTAAAATCCATTTTTAATGCCGTTACTTTTGAAATAATATAGAAAGAAACAAATGTGATGTGTTTAAGTTGCCCTCTGTGAGTTTTTAATGTGATCTATGGCTGAGGTAGTGATGGAAGGAACTATTGGGCTTGGAGAAATTTGGTGTCATAAAGAAAAAGAGCTTGCTGTTTATTATGGTTGCTGGGCTGGGGGTCTGGAATAGGGTCATGGGGGGCAGGGAGCCCCAGTCCCCCCCCCCCCCAGATGTTGTGGATGGACAGCGTAGCTTCTTAGTTTGGGGGGTATGAGGGTTCCAGGATTATTTTGCATTGCTCCACAGCTTTTAAGGGGCCTTTGGTGAGGGGGCTTGGGAATTGGGGGGCGTTGTTCTCCCCCTTCCACCTGCTTAGATCTTGGCTGGGAGGCCCCTGGAACCCCCTGCAGAATTACGTGGAGGTGCACTGTGGGAGTTTGGACTTGGCTCCTAAAGGAGATGAAGGGATGGGATCTCCACCTGATTGTTGTGGTTGTGCTAGAAGCTTGAGGGGCAAACTGACCCTGGCAGAAACCAGAGGACTTTTTTTGGGGGGGGGGCGCCACTCTGGCCTGGCAGAGCCCCAGAGGGACAGTGCTTGATCCCAGATCCGTCTGGAACAGTGACTTTGGGCCACTCCTTCCTCTTGACTCTGTTTGCCATTGGACAAGGGTTACCTTCAAGCAAACCTGATCTCCCTCGTTTTCTGTCCCTCCCCTCACCCCAAGCAAACCCCCACACCCCCACACCCCAGGGGTGTAATTGGGGCTTTTTTTCTTTATCTATTTGGTTTGGGAAAACAGCTCTGTGTCTCATACCAGCCAGCCACTGAAGACGGTGGGGTGCCATGCCTTCCTACCAGATGCCCAGGCACTTCTGATCTGGTTGAGAAAGGTCAGGCAGGCTCACTATTATGGGATGGAGCCCAGCTCTGCCTCTGGGTCTCCTGGGTCTCTTGGGATAGAGCCTGAAAGGGGACGCTAGGGTGGGGTGCAGCTGGGGACTGCTGGAGAGAGCATGGGTAACATTGTTGCTAATGTCAGCAGATGGCCCCCCCAGAGAGAATGGGGGAGGCAGGGAGGAGAGAGACTCAGACAGCCACTTGGTGGGGAGAGGGAAAGATGGTGACAGGAGCCAGTGGGGAGAGGGGGAGAGAGAAAAGCAGGGCAGGAGGAGAGCCAGGATCACAGCCCCAGGAGACGGGGTCCAGGTGATCAGGAAGGCCTAGGCATGTGCCACAGCCCAGAAAGAGCAGGCACTGAGGCCCTCTCACCCAAGATCAAGTGCTGGGATTGTTTTTGGAGGAGAGACAAGCAAATGTCTCTGGGAAGAGGAAGGAGGACAGGTGGGAGAGAGAGAGAGAGAGAGATTCCCACAGGAGGAGAGAGAATGGGGAGACAGGGGGATTCCAGGGGTCACTTGGTTCGTGCTTCTGCCCCAGGGCAGTGTCTTCCCTCTGCCTTCTCTCAATGTCTGGGGACAGAGCAGAGCTCTTCTTTGGACCTGGAGGTGGGGCCTGAGGCAACTTCTGAGCCCCACAGGTTGTGGGTGCTCCGTGTCTAGAGGCTCCGGGGTTTTAAAAGCGGAGAACATGAGGGTCCCAGCGATGCCAGGGGCATCGTCCAGTTGGGACCCCTCCCTTGTTTGACAGGAGGAAACCGAGTCTAGAAAGAGGAGCCACTGGCCCAGTATCACAGACACTTGGCAGGGGCAGGCCTGGGACCCATACTCTTTGCGCTCCACCTCTCTGTAGCTAGAGAATTGGAACAGCTGCAGGGGGGCCTCCTGGGCTCAGAGGGGGGCCAAGCCTGGGGAGAGGAGCAAGCAGGCACCCTTGTGGCCAGAGCCCCCCCAGGGGAGGGGGAGGTGCTGCTGCGGAGAGAGAGCGAGGGAGGGGAGAGAGGAGGGGAAACAGTGAGTCAGGCTTCCAAGAGCTGAAGATGAGAGAGCCAGCCCTGGGAGGGAGAGGGCTGGGAGGGCTGCTCAGAAGCAAGGAGAGGGAGGGGGCCCAGCCAGGGGCAAGGAGAGCTCTGGAGGGAGGGAGCCCGCCCCTGGCCCTGGCCCAGCGGCAGGCCTGTGCTGTGTGGAGGGTGCCGCCAATATGGACTTTGCCCATGGTAGGTCAGAAAGGAGCCAGATTCTGCCTCTGCAGTGTCCCTTTCTTCCCCGATTCCTCATTTATGATCCCACCCCAGGGTCTCAGGGAGAGGACTGTGTGTCCTCCCATCCCTTCGCCAGTTTCTCTGTCCCTTGTGGGATTTGGACCTTGAGCTCTTCTGGGGAGGGGGGCGGGCACAGCATCCTGGGAGGGTGTTGAGGGATGCTGTCTCCAGCTGCTGTTTTTGTGCTGGGGACACTGTTGGAGCTGCCACTGGTGCAGGGTAGGGCGCAAGGTCTCAGAGTAGGCTCCCTGTGGAACCCTCTGAGCTGCTGGGCCAGGAAGTGAAGGTGGCCGGCCATGAGTGCTGGGGTGCAGTCTGTGTGTAAGTGTGTGAGGTGCTGATCTGGTGATGTAGGTGGGCTACCTGGGGCCTCTCGGGTGGCCTGTGCCTAGACAGGGCCAAGGTCCCCACATGTCCAGACCACCTTCCACTTGAGGATGGGGGTGACACTCATGTGATCCCCCCATATTCCCATGGATCAGAGGCTCTGGGGAAACTGGGAGGCGGGAATAACCCATGTGAGGAGCTGGCGAGAGCTGCCTGTACAGCTTCTCATGCCTGGAGCTGGGACCAGAACTGG